TTCCATACAGGTCCCACTACATATGTGTGAAAACAGTTTGAAGGTGACAATCAAGTTAGGTACATTCTGGATAACATAGTGCTGTCCATGTGTTTCTCGGTGGTGGTATTTCTGTAGTTGCAGTCCTGCAGTGCCTGCGGCTAACTCTCTTCATGGGACCAGCGTTAGAGGCTTTGGTGCCAGTGGTGACTTGTGCAAAGCAGTTAGGCTTCAGTGACAGCACGAGAAAATCATTGGGTTGATTCAGCTTCACATTTCTGTGCACAGTGACGATGAGAGGAAGAAGAGTTTCTTGTAAATCCCCGCTTGGGTAGTGTTGACAGCATCAATATTGTGTGACCTAAAGTCCTGGCCTGTGGTGCTGGTGCTGGAGGCAGCAGGCAGGCAGATGTAAGAGGGAGCCCTGGCATCTTAAAAGAAGGATCTGTTATGGTCAAGGCTTATTTTGACTCCTGCTGACTCCTGACCACAGGAGAGCTGCTGCCTCAGGCACAGACCAGGCACCACCAGTGAGAGGAGCAGCCTCCTGCCTCTCAGCTGGCAGCACGTGCCAGCTTCTGCCGAGTTTCTGCTGCCTGTGGTCTGATTAGGGAGAGAAAACAGAACCTGGCATGTCACCTTTACGAGGTTGCAAATGTTTTCAGGGAGAGAGAGAAGAATCATGCTTTCTGTAATTGGGTAAAATGACTCCTTTTGATTCCTCCTCCTTTGAAAATTTGCCTGATTATCTTTAGCAAAACCAAACAGATTCTTTTCAAGGTGTTTAAAATGAGGATTCCTAAACGCACTGCAGGAAAGCTCAATCAATGCTGAGTTCAAAAGCTCTGACCTGAAATCACAGTCCCGTCCTACTCATATTTTCAGTGTGGGAAATTTTTTTTTGGACTTATGACTTCACGGGAATCATATGGTTTCACAAGGGGAAAATCAGTGCAAGTCTTTGACCCCGGCAGATCCTCCTGGGATGCGCCACCCCTCCCTCTAACAGTGTTGGGGCTGAGAGATTTGGCAAAAGGAAACAGAGGCAATGGGCTTTAGAAGGCCCCGGATCTCCCCACAGATACAATGCAGGTGATATTTCTACTGAGACATGGGGAACTGAAAGAGGAAAAAGGTCAGATTGGAACCAATTCACTGAGGCAAATTGGCATGACTGGTTTTAAGGAAATTGTAAAATCAACACCACTTACACGTGCTCTTTTCTTTCTCAGGTCTCTGGGAACTAAGTAGTAGGGCAGGTGGGTGGCAAAAACACGAGGCAAAGGAAGACTTGCATAATCCTTATTTTCTCTATTGTATTCCAGCCATGGGATTCTTTCCATGGTCTCCATATTTTCTGTTCCGTTACGGTGGCCTTCATGAATTATTAAGCTCAAAATGTTCTGAGTCCACACAGTTCCTGAGAAAGAAAACTTTTTATTTGAACCTTGCTTGATTTTTTTTTTTTAGTTAAAGATAGTATATCTCATAAACAGAGCTTGTGCACAGCTGTAATGAGTTTCTCTTTGTTTACATAATTACAACCTCACATAGTGAAGAAAGCATACCTTGTCTTGGTGCCTGCTGAGTGCAGCAGGGAAGCGTATTTTTATTTGTCCCTGCAGAAAAGCCATGGCCTGTAACTAAACCTTCAGCTCTTTTACCCAATATACTCAACTTCCATACAAATTCTGCCTGTCCTCACCCTCTTGTCGCAACATGAATTGCTGCATCTCTGTGGGCATGCGCCTAAAAATATCTCCTCCGGAGCGGATCTGGAAAAGACCTTTGCTTCCAGAACTCCTGCAAAGTGTTGTGAGATGTCATGAAGGAAACAACTGGTAACACCATGTTCGTAAAGCACAAATGAGCCCCACAAAGCAAAAGCTTGTGGCAACAGGCTCTCTAAAGTTCCTTGGGGAAGGTCCGACTCCTTGGTCAGAACTGCTGGTGAGGATGTTCTAAAAAGTCAGGATCCTGAAGGTGGCTGACCCCCATGCCAGTATGTGTTCATGTCCCAGTTGGTAACTGTGGGAGGAAAATCCTGCATGATTAGCCCATTTTGGCAATCAGCAGACTATTGAGTCCCAGGTCCTCCAGCCTTCTCAGCACTATACTAGCACTGGTTCCTTTCCTCTTTTATGCCGTAGGCCAGTAAAGATGGACACTTGACAGAAGTCAAATCAATGCAGTAGAGCATTGAATTATTGCTGTAGGTTACCCTGAACAAGCACAGAGAGAAGAAGGCATCTGAAACTGAAGCCTAGTTGTGCAGACCTCACGTGGGAAGGAATCTCTTGGTTCTGGAGGTTAGACTGTAGGTGTGTTGTAGATTTCAAGCCACTGGGCAAGAAAAAGAAACAGCCTTGGGATTCGGAGGAACAATCCCTCAGCTTTTATAATGAGGATGAAGCAGATGGGATGGAATACCCTGTTGGGTCACCTGTCCTGTCTGCTTCTCCCCATAGGTGGGACCCCTCTACACTTTTCTGCTTCCGACCCTCCAACGGGCCAAATAACAAAGTTATCTGGCCTTGGCTGTTATAGCAATAAGTATAAGCAAGAGCATCTCCGCATACCATTCCTTGGCATCAACTATAAAAATAGGTCTTATCACTCTGAGAGCAATAATTGTCTGCACAATATGCTGCTAATTTCAGTGCTTAGAAGAGTCCTAGCTAAGAAGCAAAGTTACTTGACAAAATTGGTCCTGTTTTACCTCAAACCAGGATGGTAACTTAAATAGATAACTGCTGAGGAGGAAGGAGGATGGTAAAAAGGTACTGAGGTACTGGAGCATGTCCAGAGAAGGGCAACAAAGCTGGTGAGGGGTCTAGAGCACAAGCCTTATGAGGAGCCGCTGAGGGAACTGGGATTCTTTAGACTGGAGAAAAGGAGGCTGAGGAGAGACCTTATTGCTTTCTACAACTATCTGAAAGGAGGTTGTAGCAAGATGGGGGTTGGTCTCTTCTCCCAAGTAACAGGTGATAGGACAAGAGGAAATAGCTTCAAGTTGTACCAGAGTAGGATTAGATTGGATATTAGCAAATATTTCTTCACGGAAGCGATTATCAAGCATTGGAACAGGCTGCCCAGGGAAGTGGTTGACTCACCAACGCTGGATGTATTTAAAAGAAAGGTAGATATGGTGCTGAGGGACGTCATTAGTCGTAACTTGGCAGTGCTATATTAACAGTTGGACTCGATGACCTTAAAGGTATCTTCTAACCTAGACAATGCTGTGATTCTATAATCATTAAAGAAATGCAGTCTTGAAAAAAGGGTAGACCGGTTTCGGAGTATAAAGGTGACCTGTATGGAAACATACAGGACTAGGCATGTCAATGCTTTAGATTTAATGTAAGACAACACTGAAGCCAGGTGGTCGCTCAGTTGTATTTGTTTCAGAAATAGCATCACAAAATTCATGGCACTAGTGTCCTGTATTGCTCTGTAGCTAAGTAGTACTTCATTAGCCTTGAAAGGAGGTATATATCATTGACTCACATTTGCTCAGCAACCCTACCACAACGAGGTAGGTGTTTTGTGAGGCACAGGAGGTCAGTTTGGTTTGCCTGTAGCTTGCTCTGAGTCCACCTACAAGACTGAGTCCAAGAACGAGTTAGGCCAATGTGGCTGGACACGAGCAGGAACCTCGTGTCGGGCTGTTGAGGCCACGGCTATGCAGGGTCTGTGCTTCGTGCTCCGCTGCATATACTCAGAGATGGTTCAGGTCTAAAAGCAAAGCCAACCACCCGAGGTACTTGTGTATCTCAATGGCTGAAGAAAGGCAGGTTTTGCCCCCTTTAGAAGCAATCCCATTCTTACCTGATTTGGGATAAGTTGCTAGAAATATGTCGCTATCTTTGATTTCAAAATCCTCCAGGGTAGCTACATACTCAGGTGTAGTTTCTACACTAAAATAATACCCTTTGTATTCAAACAGATATTCTTTTGATGGTTCCATTGTTAGAGGGGAATGACCTGCAATAAGAAAATATGAAGTTATATCTTTTTCTTTGGTTGTCATGTCACAGAAACAAAAAAAGGAGTAATTCAAACAAAGCATCCAGTTCTGGCAAATTTTAGCAAAATGCATTTCAGCAAAATTCTGGGAACAATACATAGGAATTTAGCTTTTAGATTATCACAAGAACATCATTCAGGACATATTTCAAAGAAAAAAAAAAAAGGAAATATGTTTAGCACTATGCTTTACTCCTATACCAGTGTATGCTACTTGCATGTAAAAACGAATGTAACTGAAGGCATCCTATGTAAAAATCATTTGTGAAGATTCCTCTGGAATCTGAGTGACCGTAGACTTTTCTTTGGGATGTCAGTAGCTCTCAAACAGAGCTAGCTTCACTACCAAGCTCTCATTCTGAATGTTGTGGTGTGGACCATGGCCAGGGCAGGGAGAGCGATGAGAGCGATGGACAGGGAGGAGAGACACCGCTGTGCATGGTGAGGAGCTGCCTGCTTCACCTCACAGCTACAGACATTGCCCACGTCAAAGCCTGTGAGGTGCTTTGGCCTCATGGTGAAACCTGAGTTTCAGAGCTCTAAAGGCAGAAAAGCCCACGTTTAGAAGGCAAGGGATTGGTACACTTTCAAATTCAAGCTTCAGAAGTCAGAAGAATGCAGAGATATGGAGAATGAGTGAAAAATGTAACGGATACAGGAGAAAGAACAAGGAATTTGCGGGAAACAAAAAAGACGTACATTCAATGCACAGTATACAGAAACCTTCTTGATCTTGTTCAGCCAAAACCATGAGCTTTTCTATCACTTTGGGACAAAAGTTATTGCACTGCCTGATTCGTACAGATGTAGGAATCTACCATGAGGAAATACACCATGGAAAAAAAGCCTTGCTTGTTTCCTGGAAAGCTATTCATGATCTAGTGTACACGATGGGAGAAAAAATTAAACATTCAGGTATGCTTGTATCAGCCAGCCGCACATCTCAAACATACATCTCAAAAATCTGTCTCCAAATGCAGGCACAAAGGTGCTTGCCAGGTGATCTCCTACATCCACTCCCATTTCTTTGTTGAGTGGCACACAAAAGCCCATGTGAGGCTCCGGTTCCCACACCGGCACTGAGAAAACCCGGCTCTGGACTGCCGTCCTCCTCTCCAGCACGGACCAGCTCTAGCCCCTCCTTCTCTGCAACCCTTTCGGCCACTGCATGCCAAAATGGTCTACAAAAGAGGTCTATGTACAATTGTTGTTTTACTGGGAAGGTAATACAGCACCATTTAACTCACAGATCTGCCATTCTAATAATGTCAGGCGTACTTACCTCCTCTGATCTCCGTTCGGTGCCCACGCAGATGTGCACTACTGCTTCCCAGCTCGGTGAATGCGGGTAATTCTAGAGATATGTGAGCTGTCACGTTTCCTTTTTAACTGAGATATGAACCCATGGATACCGTGCTGGTTGGCTTGCTTTCAATATTTGCTTATCTTTAACGCAGACAGAGATTAGAGAACTACAATAACTCGGGGAAAAATGTGAAAGCAGACCAGAAAGGTTTTTGAAATTATTTAAATGCTCTTTTTGATTTATGTTCCTTCTTTTTTTTTTTATCATCAGCATTCTTGAGGAAGCTTGGAGAGGAGCAGAAATGAGTAAAATATTTTGCTTTTTGCTAGGTTTGGGGTCTTTTTTGCTCAGCTTTTACTGAACTTTTCCCCAAATTGTTTTTTATCTCCAAGCTACGTTTGTTGTCCCAAAGAAGAGCCTGAATCCACTACTCCACTGAAATGGTTGATCAGACCGGTCCCACCTGGTCTCGGCCATGAGCCTGGAACAAGCTCCTTGGGTTAATCATGTGTATGTGCTCATGTTAAGTTTTTCTGACAGATATTTTAACGCCGAAATGAAATAATGCCCAAGACATTTCTCACTGAAACCTGCACTCCAGCTACATTACAAAGAAGAACATTTTGTCGCCCAGTTCTGTGTTGTGTTTTGTATAGGATTGCTTTTTAAGCTGGATCAATTGCCCAGGTAATCCCCAAACTTGCACAACCGATCAGTCGGGTTGGTCAGCATGTGCATGAGCCAGAAAGAGGGGTAGGGCTGAGGGTTTCTCCCCGCCGCCCCGAGGAAACCCCGAGGGTGAAAGATTGAGCCTGTTCTGCTGTGCTTTCTGCTGCAATCAGGCATGTCTTTAGCATTTTGTGACTGCAGTTTCTATCCTCAGTGTTTAATAATGATGAGAGACAACATCTCTTGACCCCAGAAGTAGATGGGGAGGTGCTCCACAAGATACTCCAGCCCCTGGCATGTCGCTCCGAAGAATCCAAAGAGTAACAAAGACCTATGGTCCCACATCAGCTTTGTGAATGAGCTGGAGAGCCAACAAGGTGTGAGTTAGGGCAAGAAGCGGTATTTTCCAGGGAAAAGAAATAGTGTGTAAAGCTATTTGGCCTTTGGACAGATAGTGAGTGGGGAAAGCATATGAACCTGAAAGATATTCTAAAACGTCAGCATCCTAAAGTTAGGATTTGTCCCGGCTTGTCAGTAATGCTGAATTAGAGTCTATCTGTAGTTAATTGAACATAGGTGTCACGTATATTACCTTTTTCAGGACAAATAGTCCATTGCAACATTAATAATTAATCTGAGGATGCAAATACCTAACGTATATTGTAGGTGCAGTTGCACAAAGTTCAGTGTGAGACTGGGAAAGGGAATGTGTGGCTTATTGCATAATTTCAACAAAACCAATGTTCTCAGTGCTATTAACATCTTAGGTCCTTCTCTGATTGTTTCCTCTGGTACTTTGCACCAATACATTTCTGTACATACTAGTCATAGTTCTCCTTTCACAACCCTCTACAGTGACAACAAACTGATGTGTCCCTGAAGTTCCCTATATAGACAACAGCCAAAGAGAGGTCTCCTGCCTACCTTTTCTGTAAAATTAAAATGTACGCTGAAGCCTTAAATTAGGTATAGAATCCCCAAATAAGTTTTACTTCTTACTGCAAAAAGACACTCAACATGTCATAGCAATAAAGGGCAAACCAAATTAGACCACTTCAGTGCTCGTTTCTGGCATCCACACAGGAAGAGATTGTTACCCACCAAGTGAGGAAAAAAAATAAGTGGTTTGTAAGGCATTCCTTTATTTTAGACGTGGCACCTGGGGGTTAGGCCACAGCGTGTGCCCTGCTGTTACAGCGGCACAGGACAGCAGCAGTGGGCACACCTGCAGGAGGTGCGCCCAAGTGGAGGAACTCCTCCACTTAGTAACAGAGCTCCAGGAGGTGGTGAGTAGGTTGAGGAGCATTCAGGGAGTGTGAGAGAGAGGTTGACCACAGCAATCACATTTTACCTTCCCTGAGACGAGCTCAACAGGAAGACAAGATACATAGTGCAGAGCATTCCCAACCCTCTCTCTGCCTGACTGAACACAATAATCTGAGGGATAGGGGGCAATGGCGACTAGTTCTTGCCCAGCCCGGCAGGTGCGTCTCCTCAGAACAAGCCCACCTTCCCAGGTGCCCTCACATCACAGGTGTCAGGCTCTGCAAATGGAACCCAAAAGGAAGGAGGATGAGGGTTCGTCTAGCTTGGAAGTGTCGCTGAGGTTAAATAGGCCTACACCCTGCATCAAAACTACTCCCACAAAGAAAAAAAGATGGGTTGTTGTCACAGGTGGCTCCTCCCTGAAGGGAGCAGAAGGTCTGAAATGCAGACCAGACGCACTTCTTAGGGAAGTCTGCTGCCTCCCTTGGGCCAGGGTTAAAGATGTGGTGAGAAAACCTCCCACCCTGGTACAGCCCTCAGATTATTATGCATTATTGATTTTTCAGGTAGGCAGCGATGAAGTTGCAACAGAAATCCAAGGGCAATCAAGAGAGACTTCAGGGCCTTGGGACGACTGGTTAAGGGATGAAGAGTGCAAGTAGTGTTCTCTGCCCTTCCAGTTGCAGGGAATGATGAGGGAAGAAAAAAGGATGACCCAATAGATCAACACCTGATCTGAGCTCTGGTGTTACCAGCAGGCCTTTGGGTTTTTTTGATCATTGGTTGGTTTACATGACACCAGGCCTGCGAGTGACAGATGGCGTACACCTGTCTCAAAGAGGGAAAAGGATCTTTGCACAGGAGTTGGCAGGGCTCATCAAAAGGGCTTTAAACTAGATTTGAAGGGGGAAAGGGATAAAACCAGGCTTGCTAGAGATAAGCCTGGGGACAGCACATCAATATTTGTGGGACAGCATGCTAGCGATGTCCTTTGGTCTGCCATACCAGTGGAGGTAGGGGATAGAGCGTCATGTGATAGCAAAGACACAAGGGATATTGATGGGACAGAAATCACAGAAGTGCCTGGGAATAGTCAGGTAGGAAATAGGGCTTCTCCTCCCAAAATGTGATGGGATCGATAGCACAACTGAAGTGCATCTACACCAGTGCATGCGACATGGGCAACGAACAGGAGGAAGCGGGAAAACTATGATATAGTCGCCATCACAGAAACATGATGGGGTGATACATGTAACTGGAGTGCTGCATTGGATAGCTATAAACTCTTCAGAAGGGATAGGCAAGGAAGGAGAGGTGCTGGGGTGTCCCTGTATGTTAGGGAATGTTTTGTTTGTCTTGAGATTAATGATGGTGATGGTAGAGTCAAATGTTTATGGGTAAGAATTAGGGAGAAGGCCCAAAAACTGAGCCCTTGGGAACACCACTTGTGACCAGCTGCCAGCTGGATTTAACTTTATTCACCACCACTCTGTGGGCCTGGCCATCCAGTTTTTTGCTCGGCAAACTGTATGCCTATCCAAGCCACGAGCAGCCAGTTTCTCCAGCGAATGCTGTGGGAAATGGTGTCAAAGGCTTTACTAAAGTCCAGGTAAACAACATCCACATATCAACATATCGTAGCATCACAGCAAGGCTCTGTGCACAATTTACTTCTGATTACAAAAGTGTACCACTCCTTCCATTGCCCTGCTGCCTGGGAAGCCAAAAACTCATCAAAGTCCTTCTTGGGATATTAGGGACACACCATCAGTTTCTTCACCCAGGTGGTTAACCAAATATTCAGGGTCTTGCAAATAGATCCAAATAGGATCCTGTTGCTCCTCTGAGGCAACGACTTGCAAAGAAGATAAAAAGTTCAGCTTCTGTGAGCCCAGGGGAGTCTGACAGTAAGAGGTAAAGTCCCTTAAGCAGTAATTTTAGTTAGCGTTGAGCCCAAATATACTCATTCTCCCTCTCAGGGCAAACTTGTGGTAATGATTCAGGCTGCAAGTCCTGGGTCTCAGTAGGGTCATTTTAACGTTCTGTTATCCCACTGCATTCTTTCTTGTGGTGCCCTGCTAACGTTTGGAAGTTACCCCCTAACCCTGGCCCAGCTGCCATTCCCTGAAAAAGCAACTGTTAGCTGTGCTGTGATTACCTTGGATAGTCAGACCTTTGCATGGCATTTCTGGGGCGAAGCTGAAACACATGAGACAATCAGGAACTTGACCTTAATAAACCTGTAATAAGGCTTGTGTTTCTCTGACACTCCCAGAATGCTTGTTAAAAAAAAACCCACACAACCAAATCCTACCTTGCTTTTAACTCTTGAAGTCCAAAACATACACTGTAACGCATGTAGGGAGATTATTATGAGTTGCAGTACTGTACTACAACCAGAGCTAATTCAATTTTGATCATGCTGAACATTTTGCATAGTTGAGCACTATTTAAAATTCAGAGGAAGGTACCAACCACACCGAGATGCTGTAAGAGTACAACCTCAGGCATGCTGCAAAGACTAGGATTTCGCATCAAAATTATGAACGCAATACAATCTGCTTGAATGCAAACAAAACCTAAGGATGGCATACTTATCTTTTTTTTTTTTCATTTTCTTTCTTGTATTTTTTTGTAAAATGGGGGGCTTGAAGTACAATTCCTGTGGGGAGAATCAACCTTAGTCTTTCTCCTAGGAGATGTCTAACCACCAGGCTACCTCCAGTTTTTAAACTGTGTGGTTGCTGAAATAAATTCACAGCTTGTTGGAGCAGACAGTAGACCATACCTGGATCCAAGCTGCTGATACTCTAGATCCTGAGAGAAGGAGCTGTCACGCGAGTGCTCGCTTGTGTTGCAAAATCTGACAGGGCTTGAAATACTACTACTCGGGTGTTTTTGTTTGTTGTTTTTTTTTCTTTTTAATTGGCCCTTCAGTTCCTTGCAAGTTGACTCGGAGCAGGAGGGAGAGGGGAGAGGCTTTTCAGATTCAGTTCTTTGCCATAATTGCATTTACTGCCATGAACACGGATTTAATTTGCTCTGTGTGTTCATGAAATCTGCAGCTGATAGAGTGAGCTGATACCATGGGGCGGTGGCATAGTACATAGTGTGAGGTTTATGTGGCGTTTATTCCTGTGCTGGGACTTGCTGTCATTGGAAACAGAGTAAAGATCAAGGTCCTACTTGTAATCAGGAGTTCTGTTTGTACTTTGGGCAAACTCAGCAAAAGGCCTGCGATAGGCTTCTGACTTTGAACCAGTTTTACCTTTTCTGTGGTAAATATGCACAGGTGGAAAAGGTCAGTGGTCCCCTCATGAGAAGTTCATGCTCAGAGGTCAGGGGATGCAGTGGTTACATAAGGCATGGAAGGGGTGGTATTTTGTGACTACTTTCCCTAGTATCAGGGATGGAAAGTCCCAGAAGGAAAGATGGTCTGGCTGTACCATTGAAGGACGTGGGAACATCCTTCTTGTAGGCTAACGATATGAGGTCCCCTTTCCCCAATAGAAGCAGCTACCTATGCTGTGCATGAAGTGATTCTGTCCAGGGGAAAGCAGGTGAAATTTATCAGAAGATATAAGTGGCTGTATTAAAAATGAGAAGTGCGAGCTGGTCCCTTGAGACCAGTGTTGGAAGTAAACTAACAAACAAACAAACAAACAAAGCCATTCTGTGAACTGGAAGTAGATTTTGCAATTTTGAAGCAGTTTATGGAAAAGCCAAGGTTAGATGTTCCTTGTCAAATAAAAATGACTATGTGAAATGCTTTTGGAATTAGATGTTGTATCCTACTGTGGCTGCTTGGTAGGATGCTGGTTCAATAGCAACCAAAACCAGTCATCTTGGTATGATCATGTAGACGTCATCGCTGGAAACAGGGATGAGAGTGCAAAAGTTGCCCTGCCAGCCAGGGAAGTGCGGTTGGTGTGTGAAAAACAGCTGAAACAAAGTGTTTCCTGAACTATGTCTCTGTACTTAGCTGCTCAAGGGGAGGCCACGGGCAAGCGACTGTGTGGAGCTGAATTATGGACAGGTTAAAGCATGATCGTGAGCCAATGAATATATGAGGAGGGACGTAGTCCTAGCTAGCTGGGAGGTCTTTACGTCAGTAGCTCTAGCAGATCATCAGGTATGATGGAGTGGATGTTGACTTAAAAGCTCCTGTGACTGTGGCTTGTGTTTTTTCTCAGTATTTCAAGTAGCAAATTGTCAGACATGACCTCAAGAACCGTAACCAACAATGTAATGTAGCGTTTCAGTCAATAGGCAACACCCGACAATGCAACACAAAGGTCACTTCAATAGCAAATGGTTCTGTATCAGTGTTTACAAAGGAAACAGGAACTCAAACATATCAAAGTGTATCCATACCACAGCTGGCCAGTCTTACTTCCAGTCTGGACATTGAAGGTTCTACCAAAAGGAGCCTCACAAAATGCGTAAGTGGAAGACTTTTTAGGAAGTTTTTAGCAACACCAATCTATCCTCCCTTGGTTGTCTACAAATCGGGTATTATTAAAGCCAATGAAAGTAAAAGCAAACCTGAAGCAAGGAAGGCAGTTTACCAAGAAAGCTAATGAAGCTGCCTTGTAAAATTACAAACAGGAAGCTGAGAGAATTGAATAGCTTCCTCAGACAAGTCACATTTTGTGACTGAGTTGTCATTGTGATTGTATAACAGAGCTGAAAATGGATGTCTTTTCCTCTTCCAGAACTTCAGATATGTCCATCCAGCATAAAGACCAAAGGATGAGGAAACTCCAAACCAGCCTACACTTCATCGTTAATATCCCAGATGAATTTGATAGGCAGGGTCTTCATTTTGTCTCCCAGAACTTTGTCAAACCTTTCATTCTGTGCCACCGTCATGATGTTTTTCCAGTCTCCAACAGTGCCTGAGGAAAGAGGCAGCAAAGGGAGGTGAGAAGCAGAACGCACACGTCTCTGAAGCCCGCTGCAAATGGCGAGTGCTACTCTGGGGAAGTATTCCTGGCTTCCTTGGCACTTCCCTGTCACTGGCGTGATGAGTGAGGCTCTGTGTGCTCTTTTGAGGACTTGCTTGCAAATCTAGGTGCTGTGAACAAAACACAGCACAGACCTGTAATCCTGAATCCTCATGAAGTTATTTGACTCGTTTCTTCTGGTGTTTTACTGATTCCTTTGAGATCAAAGAGGAAATCATTAAAAGCAACACCTCTTGTTATTTCTGTGGGTGCAGAACACTCTAATCCCTGGAGGTTTCCTTCTGCAAGCTTCCTCCAACACTGAGCGTGAGGACATCTTAACAATGCCCAGGAGCCCAGGGATGTCATGTATGGACTTGGAGGGTGGCTGTTCAAGGAGGACTATGCTCAACCAATTAAGGTGACTCTAGGCTTGAAAAGTAAGAAACAGTTGAATAAAGTATTATGTTACCCCTGTCTCAGTACAATCCTTAGTTGTTGCATTGGACTGCTTACAATTTACCTTTTCGTAGAAAACTACCCTTGTCTTTTTTTGTGAGGTCTTCTGGTAGGTTCTCATAGTTTGCCCTGGGATCTTTTCTCATGTTCTCAAACGTAGCCTGTCTCACAACACTGTCCACATCCTCGTCGCTCAGCTTCTTGCCTAGGAACTTGCAGATCTTCAGGACCGCACTTCTGAGATCCTGCAATAATGTGACTTTGAAGATTCTTGATGGCGCAAGTAGTGGAACATGGGATAATAGAGGACATACATTTGATTGCAAAACTGACCATCATTTTTATGTGAGCAGAGACTCGCTTGCATCAGTTGACTACTGGAGAGCAGTGACGCTGTAGCTCACTGCAGCACTGTGCCCTTGGAGATGGGGAATTCTGCGTTCTGCTCCCCACGCTGCAAACCCGCTCTGCGTCTCCTGTTTGATGCCCTGGCAAAGTCAGCCCTGGAATGGTGCCTGTCACCGTGAAGGCGCTCAACCCGTGGGATTCTTGTCAGTTGTCTTGTCCGACAGGCTCCGAAGGCTGAGGGGCCGGCGCAGTGGCACGAGCCATGGGCTGCGCTGCCTTGGCTAGGGCACTCTGTGGCTTGCCCATGAGGAGAAGGGCAGCCACCTGGGAGAAGCGAGACGGTGCACAAAAGTGTGGGCAGCCACCAAGCAGGAAACTTCTGGTGAGCAATTTGGGAGCTCCTCAAGAACTTTAAAGCCCTGCCTCTGCAGCACCTCTCTGCTTAGAAGCACCACATTCCTGTTGAAGATACTTGCAAAAGTCTTGTGCTGTACTATTTCAGAAAAGGGTTT